CTAACCACCCACAATGCCTCCCAGATCCCATAGGGCTCCTTAACCTTCCAGAGTGGACCACAGCGCCTCTCAACCCCATAGTGTCCCCCAACTCCACACAGTGCCCCCCCAGCCTACTGTAAGGCCTCCATAGTGCCCCCAACATCCAACAGTACACTGCCCCCAAACCTCCCACAATGCTCCACAGACCTTTCAGCACCCTCCAGTCTCCCACATTGCAAAGTCACCAGCCTCCCAAAAAGACCCCCAGCCCCCTCCTGAGACACCATCCTCCACAGTTTCTCACAGTCCCCTCCAGAAACCTCATCCCATACAGCACCTCCACGTTTGCTTATTAAAACCAATCCAAGCCAATCAAATGCCTCCCTCACTGCCACTTCTTTCCCCGTATATAATGCGAAGGACTGAGGAACCCAGGGGAGACAGGAGGTGACATTTGTCCCAAGAACACCCTAGTCTCCTGCCACCCAAGTCGAGGGAGACATAAACTCCTTTGTGTGTGTTGGTTTCTTTATATTCTAGTAGACTAATCTGGTTCAAAAATTGGAAACTAGACTCCTTCATCCTCAAATGTGATCTTACTTCTGTAGGGGGTGCAAACATTAATCAAACATTTCTTTTGGAGTGGTTCTCAGCCACTAGGCTGTGGATTGCTGCCGGGTCATGGTCTCCTTCCCCCATGGGCCTCCAGGCAGCTTCAGATCTCCTAACCTCCCACAATGCCTCCCAGCTGCCATAGGGCTCCTTAACCTTCCAGAGTGGACCACAGCGCCTCTCAGACCCCATAGTGTCCCCCAACTTTTCCACAGTGCTCTAAAACTCCTCACAGTGCCCCCCCCCCCCCCCCAGCCTACTGTAAGGCCTCCATAGTGCCCCCAACATCCAACAGTACACTGCCCCCTAACCTCCCACAATGCTCCCCAGACCTTTCAGCACCCTCCAGTCTCCCACATTGCAAAGTCACCAGCCTCCCAAAAAAGACCCCAGCCCCCTCCTGAGACACCATCCTCCACAGTTTCTCACAGTCCGCTCCAGAAACCTCATCCCATACAGCACCTCCAAGTTTGCTTATTCAAACCAATCCAAGCCAATCAAATGCCTCCCTCACTGCCACTTCTTTCCTCGTATATAATGTGAAGGACTGAGGAACATGGGGGAGACAGGAGGTGACATTTGTCCCAAGAACATCCTAGTCTCCTGTTACTCAAGTCGAGGAAGACGTAAACTCCTTTTAGTAGACTAATCTGGTTAAAAAACTTGAAACGAGACTTCTTCATCCTCAAATGTGATCTTACTTCTGTAGGGGGTGCAAACATTATCCAAACATCTCTTAGAGCGTTGGAGCATAGATCAGTGGTCCTCAGCCACTAGGCTGTGGATTGCTGCCGGGTCGTGGCCTCCTTCCCCCATGGGCCTCCAGGCAGCTGCAGATTTCCTAACCTCCCACAATGCCTCCCAGCTCCCATAGGGATCCTTAACCTTCCAGAGTGGACCACAGCGCCCCTCAGACCCCATAGTGTCCCCCAACTTTCCACAGTGCTCTACAACTCCACACAGTGCCCCCCCCCCAGCCTATTGTAAGGCCTCCACAGTGCCCCCAACATCCAACAGTTCACTGTCCCCTAACCTCCCACAATGCTTCACAGACCTTTCAGCGCCCTCCAGTTTCCCACATTGCAAAGTCACCAGCCTCCCAAAAAGACCCCCAGCCCCCTCCAAAGACACCATCCTCCACAGTATCTCACAGTCCCCTTCAGAAACCTCATCCCATACAGCAGCCTCCAAGTTTGCTACAGAGTCCCCAAACACAAAACCCCCCACAGTGACAGCCAACCCCATATAATGTACATTTTTTACTGTTGGGGCATGGAAGGTTTTGGATGATTTGACCCAGGCCCTGGTCTCGTTAAGGTCGGGAAGCACAGCTCTAGATAACCGTAAATCGTTCACCCAGGAGCAACGAACATATTTGTTGTTAGGCTTTGTCATTGATAGTTTATAAATGATTACTTCTCCGTATCTTAAATACACAATAGGGACTTGCCCATTGCTGTTCTTCAGATGTTATCTTGTTTGCTTTAAACCACAGCAACACGGAGCAAATAAAGTATGAGAACAAACTAGAGAAGTTCAATGTTGGAGTTTGCATTCACTTTAATTCAATGTGGTGCTGTGTTTTCTTAACCAGTTGACGACCGTTTTCTGCAGATATACTGCGGCAGAGAGGCACCACTGCACTGGATCATGTACATGATCCAACTCCTCCGCTTAGGGGGCGCCCTCGTGCGCCGCCCCGGCTGTGCTGCAATTCACTCCAGCAATGATTTATGGCCAGGACCCACTTATCGGCTGAGAGAATGACAGAAGAGAGCCCTGTTATTATTATTATTATTATTGTTCAGGATTTATATGGCGCCAACAGCTTTCTCAGCACCAGGGGCGGACTGACCATTTGGAAACTCGGGCACTGCCCGAGGGCCCGGGGTCAGTAGGGGGCCCCATGAGATGCCCCTGGTACCTTTTTCATAGGCTTTTTTGAGTTTGGGCAAGGACACAGGGACCCCATGATCTCCTATTGCCCGGGGGCCCCATGAGTTGTCAGTCCGCCCCTGCTCAGCACTTTACAAAACATTACATTTTACATACAATACATACATTACAATACAATTATTATTATTATTATTATTATTATTATTATACAGTATTTATAAAGCGCCAATAGTTCGCTCAGTGCTGTACATTACAAAGGGGGACAGAACATGTGACAGAACAATACCAATACAATGCAAAACATGAGGGGATCAAGGGCCCTGCTCTTTCGAGCTTACAATCTAGAAGGGACGGGATGGTGGCACAGGAGAAGATAGCTGTGGGGGATGGAGTGGTAGGAGGAGTGGAGGAGGTCAGCAAGTTAGCAGGGGGTGGGGTAGGCTTCCCTGAAGAGATGGGTTTTCAGGGTACGCCTAAAGGTGAGGAGAGTAGGTGATAATCTGATGGGTTGGGGAAGGGAGTTCCAGAGAATGGGTGACACCCTGGAGAAGTCCTGGAGGCGGGCATGGGAGGAGGAGACCAGGGAACTAGAGAGAAGGAGGTCTTGTGAGGAGCGGAGTGTGCGTGTTGGGTGGTACTTGGATATTAGGTCGGTGATGTAGTTCGGGGCAGGATGGTGGACAGCTTTGTACGTCAGTGTTAGGATTTTAAATTTGATCCGTTGCGCAATCAGAAGCCAGTGGAGGGATTGGCAGAGGGGGGTGGAGGACACTGAGTGGAGGCCAGTGGAGGGATTGGCAGAGGGGGGTGGAGGACACTGAGTGGAGGCCAGTGGAGGGATTGGCAGAGGGGGGTGGAGGACACTGAGTGGAGGCCAGTGGAGGGATTGGCAGAGGGGGGGGTGGCGGAAATGGAGCGGTTGGAAAGGTGAATGAGTCTGGCAGCCGTATTCAGGATCGACTGAAGCGGGGATAGCCAGCGGCGAGGCAGGCCAGTGAGGAGGGAGTTGCAGTAGTCGAGTCGTGATATGATGAGGGAGTGGATGAGCTGTTTAGTGGTTTCTGGGTTAGGAACATACATTACATACATACATTACAATACAATACATTTTACAATATACATTTACAATATAACTGGAGACAATACAGCAACAATACAGTTCAATACAAGGTGAGGAGGGACCTGATCCTGAGAGCTTACAATCTAGGAAGGAGGGGCTGGTGGTACAAAAGGTAATAGCTTTGGAGGATGGACTGGTAGGAGGAGTAGAAGATTCCATTATTAGCTGGGGGCGGGATAGGCTTCCCTGAAGAGATCGGTTTTCAGAGATCGCCTAAAAGTGAGCAGAGTAGGCAAGTCTGATAAATTGGGGTAGAGAGCTCCAGAGGATGGGGGAAGCTCTGGAAAAGTCCTGGAGAAGAGCATGGGAGGAGGAGACAAGGGAGCTAGAGAGCAGGAGGCCGTGCGAGGAGTGGAGAGTACGGTTTGGGTGATATTTGGAGGCAAGGTCGGTGATGTAATTTGGGGCAGAGTTATAAATGGCTTTATATGTATTTGTTAATGTTGTGAATTTTATCTGTTGGGCAATGGGAAGCCAGTGGAAGGATTGGCAGAGAGGGGTGGAGGACACTGAGTGGAGGCCAGTGGAGGGATTGGCAGAGAGGGGTGGAGGACACTGAATGGAGGCCAGTGGAGGGATTGGCAGAGGGGGGTGGAGGAAACTGAATGGAGGCTAGTGGAGGGATTGGCAGAGGGGGGTGGAGGACACTGATTGGAGGCCAGTGGAGGGATTGGCAGAGAGGGGTGGAGGACACTGAGTGGAGGCCAGTGGAGTTATTGGCAGAGGGGGGTGGAGGGCACTGAGTGGAGGCTAGTGGAGGAATTGGCAGAGAGTGGTGGAGGACACTGAATGGAGGCCAGTTAAGGGATTGGCAGGGGGGGGGGGGGGGGGGGTGAAGGACACTGAATGGAGGCCAGTGGAGGGATTGGCGGGGGGGGGGGGGGGTAGAGGACACTGTATGGAGGCCAGTGGAGGGATTGGCAGAGAGGGATGGAGGACACTGAATGGTGGCCAGTTAAGGGATTGGCGGGGGAGTGGAGGGCACACTGAATGGAGGCCAGTGGAGGGATTGGCAGAAAGGGGTGGAGGACACTGACTGGAGGCCAGTGGAGGGATTGGCAGAGAGGGGTGGAGGACACTGAATGGAGCCAGTGGAGGGATTGGCAGAGGGGGGTGGAGGAAACTGAATGGAGGCTAGTGGAGGGATTGGCAGAGGGGGGTGGAGGACACTGATTGGAGGCCAGTGGAGGGATTGGCAGAGAGGGGTGGAGGACACTGAGTGGAGGCCAGTGGAGTTATTGGCAGAGAGGGGGTGGAGGGCACTGAGTGGAGGCTAGTGGAGGAATTGGCAGAGAGTGGTGGAGGACACTGAATGGAGGCCAGTTAAGGGATTGGCGGGGGGGGGGGGGTGAAGGACACTGAATGGAAGCCAGTGGAGGGATTGGCGGCGGGGGGGGGGGGGGGGGGGTAGAGGACACTGTATGGAGGCCAGTGGAGGGATTGGCAGAGAGGGATGGAGGACACTGAATGGTGGCCAGTTAAGGGATTGGCGGGGGGGTGGAGGGCACACTGAATGGAGGCCAGTGGAGGGATTGGCAGAAAGGGGTGGAGGACACTGACTGGAGGCCAGTGGAGGGATTGGCAGAGAGGGGTGGAGGACACTGAATGGAGGCCAGTGGAGGGATTGGCAGAGAGGGATGGCAGATATGGAATGATTGAACGATTAGTAAGGTGGATGAGTCTGGCAGCAGCATTCATGAAAGACTGAAGAAGGGATAGGCTATGCAAAAGTTAGCCAGCGAAGAGGGAGTTGCAGTAGTCAAGGCGGGAGATAACCAGGGAGTGAGTTAGAAGCTTTGTGATGTCATTGGTTAGGACGGGTTGTATCTTGGAGACATTGCAGGGGTTCCTCTGCACCACCTCCATTCTAGGAATCAGGTCTGGGAATCATGAACGGGAGCTATACAATGGAGTTTCATACTTCCCAGGTAGCAGGACTATAAAATCATGAGCTAAACCTCCTGGAGCTATACCCTCCCTAGGCAGCTGCCTGAGAATCATGAACAGGACCTAACTGACGCTACACCACCTCCATTCCAGGAAACATGTCTGAGAATCATGAACTGGACCTCACTGAAGCAACCACCACCTCCATTCCAGGAAACAGGTCTGGGAATCATGAACTGGACTTCCCCGAAGTTACATTACCTCCATTCCAAGAAAGAAGGTCTGAGAATAATGAAACTGGACCTATATGGAGGTTTCATACTTCCCAGGTAGTAGCCCTAAAAAATCATGGATCTATAACCTCCCCAGGTAGCAGGCCTGAGAATCATGAACTGGAGTTCCTGAAGCTACACCCCCTCCATTCCAGGAAACAGGTCTGGGAATCATGAACTAGACCTCCCTGAAGCTACACACCACCTCCATTCCAAGAATCCGGTCTGGGAATCATAAACTGGACCTCAATAGAGCTACAATCTTCCTGGGCCATCATTCACTGGATTTTCCCTGACACTTTTCCTACTTCCCAGGTGGCAGGTCTAAAAAATCAGAGTTGAACGCCCTGGAGCTATAACCCTTCCCAGGCAGCAGGTTTGATAATTATGAACTGGACCTCTCTGGAGCTACCACATTCCCAGGAAGGTGGTCTGAGAATAATGAACTTGACCTCTCTGGAACCACACCCTGCCAAGGCAGCAGGTCTGAGAATCATGAACTGGACCTCAGTGGAGGTATACCATCCCCACGCATTGAGCCAGAAAATCATAAACTGGACCGCACTGAAGCTATACCCTTCTTAGGCTGCAGGATTTAGAATCATGAAATTCTCACTGACAAAATTGGACCTCTGTGAAGCTATATCATCCCCAGGCAACAGGCCTGAGAATAATTAACTTGTCCTCCCCTGAACCTACATCCCCCCCAGGCAGTGGGCCTGAGAATTATAAATAGAGATCCCCGGTGCTTTATACTTCCCAGGTAGGAGTCCTGAGGATCAGTAACTGGACCTCCCTGGAGCTACAGTTGCACGAAAAAGTATGTGAACCCCTTGGGATTCCGTGGAGTTTTGCATGAATTGGGCATAAAAAATGTGCTCTGAACGTCATCTAAGTCACACAATAGAAGAACACAGTCTGCTGAACATAATACTACACAAACATTAGATGTTGCCATGGTTTCATTGCACATAACATGTAAACATTCACAGTGCAGGGAGGAATAGAAAAAAAGTATGTGAGGCCCTAGCTTAATGACTTCTCCAGAGCTAATTGGAGCCAGGAGTGAGCCAACCTTGACTCCAATCAGTGTGATGATATTGGATGTGTTGCTGACACCTGTTTTGGTTTACTGGTTTCAAGAAGCACTGTCTGATGTGAACCATGCCTAGCAGAAAAGAGCTCTCAGAAGACCTACCATCAAGAATTGTTGACTTGCATGAAGCTGGAAAGGGTTACAAAAGTATCTCCAAAAGCCTTGATGTTCATGTGTCCACGGTAAGACAGACTGTCTACAAATGGAGAAAGTTTAGCACTGTTACTACTCTCCCTAGGCATGGTCGTCCTGTAAAAAATGACTGCAAGAGCACAGCGCAGAATGCTGCATGAGGTAAAGAAGAATCCCAGAGTGTCAGCTAAAGACCTACAGAAATCTCTGGCACATGCTAACATTTTTGTTGACACATCTACAATAAGGAAAACATTAAACAAGAATGGAGTACATGGGAGGACACCACGGAGGAAGCCATTGCTGGCCAAAAAGAAGATTGCAGCACGTTTGAAGTTTGCAAAAGAGCACCTGGATGTTCCACAGCACTACTGGCAGAATATACTGTGGACAGATGAAACCAAGATTGAGTTGTTTGGGAAGAACACACAACACTATGTGTGGAGAAAAAAAGGCACAGCACACCAACATCAAAACCTCATCCCCACTGTGAAACATGGCGGAGGGAGCATCATGGTTTGGGGCTGCTTTGCTGCCTCAGGGCCTGGACGGATTGTCGTCATTGATGGAAAATGAATTCCAGAGTTTATCAAGACATTTTGCAGGAAAAAACGTAATGACCATCTGTCCGCCAACTGAAGCTCCGCAGAGGATGGGTGATGCAACAGGACAATGACCCAAAGCATACAAGTAATTCAACAAAACAATGGGCTGCAACAGCACAGAATACGCCTTCTGGAGTGGCCCAGTCAGAGTCCTGACCTCAACCCCCATTGAAATGCTGTGGCATGACTTTAAGAGAGCGATTCACACCCAGACATCCCAAGAATATTGCTACACTGAAACAGTTTTGTGAAGAGGAGTGGTCCAAAATGACTCCAGATCGTTGTGCGGGTCGATCTGCAACTACAGGAAAACGTTTTGATTGAGGTTATTGCTGCCAAAGGAGGGTCAAACCAGTTATTAAGTCCAAAGGTTCACATACTTTTTCCTCCCTGCACTGTGAATGTTTACATGTTATGTGCAATGAAACCATGGCAACATCTAATGTTTGTGTAGTATTATGTTCAGCAGACTGTGTTCTTCTATTGTTGTGACTTACATGACGTTCAGAGCACATTTTATGCCCAATTCATGCAAAAACTCCACGTAATCCCAAGGGGGTTCACATACTTTTTCTTGCAAACTGTACATATGCGCTCACCTTAATTTTAGCCCAAATTATAATTAGGCTAATGCAGGCCATAGACAGGTCAAAAACTGGCAGTTTGTAAAAAAAAAAAAAAAAAAGAAGAAAAATCAGTCGTTCAATAGGCCGACGTTACCACCAACGTAAAAAAAATCATCCGATTTTCGTCCCGTCTACGGCCGGCATTTAATTACTTCTTTCCCTGCAGAGAGCTCCGCTATTACAGTTGTGACCAAAATTATTCAACCCCCACTGAAATTGAGTGTTTTGGCCAGTTTGACATTGCTTTTGATCATTCAGTCATCTTGCTTACATTTACATTAAAGAGGCACTTGTAGGTCAGACAAATATAACATAACAGTTATAATGAAATAACCACAAATGTCTTTTCTGTGCTCACAGCATTATCAGTTTTTATTCAACCCCCAAGTGACATTCAATCTAGTACTTAGTACAGCATCCTTTTACAGTTATAACAGCTTTTAAACGTGAAGCATAGCTTGACACAAGTGTCTTGCAGCGATCTACGGGTATCTTCGCCCATTCTTCATGGGCAAAGGCCTCCAGTTCAGTCACATTTTCTTAGGCTTGCGCACTGCAACTGCTTTCTTTAAGTCCCACCAGAGGTTCTCAATCGGATTTAAGTTGGTGACTGCGATGGCCACTCCAAAATGTTCCAGCCTTTCCTCTGCAAACCATGCTCTAGTGGACTTGGAGGTATGCTTGGGATCATTGTCCTGTTGAAAGGTCCAACGTCTCCCAAGCCTCAGGTGTGTGACGGACTGCATCACGTTTCCATCCAATATCTCCTGGTACTGAAGAGAATTCATGGTACCTTGCACACGCTGAAGCTTCCCTGTACCTGCAGAAGCAAAACAGCCCCAAAGCATGATTGACCCTCCACCATGCTTCACAGTAGGCAAGGTGTTCTTTTCATCATAGGCCTTGTTCTTCCTCCTCCAAACATAGCGTTGATCCATGGGCCCAAACAGTTCTAATTTTGTTTCATCAGTCCACAGAACACTATCCCACAACTTTTGTGGTTTGTCCACATGGCTTTTGGCATACTGCAGTCGACTCTTCTTATCTTTGGAGACAGCAAGGGGGTACGCCTGGGAGTTCTGGCACGGAGGCCTTCATTACGCAGTGTGCGTCTTATTGTCTGGGCTGAAACTTCTGTACCCACATCTGACAAATCTTTTCTCATCAGTTCCTCAGCAGTCACACGGGGGACTTCTCTCCACTCTACGCTTCAGGTAGCGCACAGCAGTCGAAGTCAGCATCTTCTTTCTTGCCACGACCAGGTAGCGTTTCAACAGTGCCCTTTGCCTTGAATTTGCGAATGATGCTTCCTAAGGTGTCTCTTGGTATGTTTTAACATCTTTGCAATCTTCTTATAGCCATTGCCCTTCCTGTGAAGAGAAATCACCTCTTCTCTTGTCTTCCTGGACCATTCTCTTGCCTTCACCATGTTTGTAACCACACCAGTAAATGTCTAGAAGGAGCTGAGTATCACAGTCATTTTAAAGCTGCCTAATTGGTGCTTATTATGCTTGATTGCTGCTCGGTGACATCCACAGGTGTTTTCAATACCTGATGGAAAGCACCTGTATGAACCTCTGTTCTTCAGGAGTGGTAGTCTTTAAGGGGTTGAATAATTGTGGCAATGAAGAAACCACATAAGAACCATTTACTACTGTATTACATAAACAATTGATGTCATTTTAGTTGCATTTTGGGTAGTTACAACGTCCTTGTAGGATTTGATTCTGAATACAATTCCAAATGTACACTATAGTCCCTAAAACCCCTTTACAGCATTGGGGGTTGAATAATTTTGGTCACAACTGTATATTTGACATGAAAACGTCTTGTGGTTGCAACAATGTATCCATTTGTATCCATTAGGGATACAGACGTTTTTATTTGGATACAAATAGATACATTGTTGCAACCGCAAGACTTTCTCATGTCAAATATAATAGCGGACTGGAATTCTTCTTCTTCCTCCTCTTCCTCTTCTTCTTCCTTTTTCTTCTTCGTCACGGCTCATGCGCAGAATTTTTGTATCGGTAAAAAGATCGGCCGATTTGCCTACCATTGCCAGGAAAATCGGCCAATTGGCAAAATCGGCCGATTTTTTTTTCCAACTTTTACCGAAAAAAACAAATGTGCCAAAACCCCCAAAAATGGCCGACCAATTAACTCACTAAAAAATCAGCCGTTTTTTTTTTTTTCGGCTGAAAAATCGGCCGATTTTCGACCCGTCAATGGCCTGCATAAAACAGCTTTTTGTCCT